GGTAACAGTCACCCTCTTCACTAATAGTCACAGCATACATAGCAGCAAGGATAGCATCAAAATCAAGATCAAAGATCGCTACACCAGCCCTAAGAAGCTCATCCCAGCGAGGGATCTCACTGGCCCCGGGGAACTGCTGACGCCAAGCGTCCGTCAGGCGGCCAAAGCAGCGCTGGGTGGGGTGGGCACCCCCACACTGCTCACCCGCGCGGTCGCCGGAACGAAGGACGTAGGTGCAAGGACCAGTACCCCCACCCCTCTGACGCCGAGTGTACCACTCACGGAGCTGCTGGGGCGGAGGGACGTCACGCGAACGCTGCTGCTGCTGCTGCTGCTGCGAGCGCTGACCACCACCACCGCCGCTCCGCTGCTGGGTACCGCCTCGACCAGCTCCACCTCTTCCGCCACCACCGCCTCCTCCGCCGCCGCCTCCCCCACCGTCACCGCCACCACTGCCGCTACCACCACCGCCGCCGCCACCACCGCCGCCTCCTCCGCCGCTGCCACTACTACCACCACCACCCCCTCCACCACTCCCGCCGCCACCCCCACTCCCTCCGCTGCCTCCACCGCCACCTCCACCGCCTCCTCCAGCTCCACCAGCGCCCTTGCCCCCCTTGCCCCTGCCAGAGCGGCGTCTCCCACTAGGGGCAGACGCCGCGCCAACCGACTCGAGACCAAGCAGGTCGGCAGCAGCAGCAGAGGCAACAGAGGGCAGGAGGGGGGAAGGAGAGCACCCCTCAAAGATGGGGGTGCGAGGGTCACCACGAGAAGCTCCTACATCGACGATGCTCTTCTCCGCCGCGAGGAGGGCCTTCTCGAGGGTGTCGACGGTGAGGGTGGTGGGACAGACTGCAAGAAAGTGGTCCCTGACTACGCGAAGGGAGTCAGGGAGGCGCGCGACTACGTAGTAGAGAGTGATGTACATGGGGGGGGGGTTCTTAGCGCAGAACTCAGCAGGAAGGGCGGCGCGGTAGCGAGTGTCACTAGTGCGGAGGTGCGTAATGAGGTCAGCGACAGTGGGAAAGGCAGAGAGGTCAGGGAAGAGGTAGGGAAGCATGAGACGGCTCAGTGCAGCAGTGGCAGGGGAGGAGTAGCGCGCAACTACAACGTTGTACAAGGTCTGAGCAATCTTGTACTGACTAAAGTGCGCGCGCTCAGAGGTAGGGAGGTGGCGACGCACAGCAAGACGTGCAGCAGCATCGCGGGTGGCCCACTGAGAGCGCACAGTGGGATCAGCATCAGCAGCAGGGGCAGGAGAGGCGCCAGAAGTGAGGTCAAAGAGAGAGAGGCCGTCTGCCCTATCGCACTGTAAAAACAACTGCAGGTCGTCGACCCAGACCTCAAAGTCAATGGCTCGACCCTCAGCGTCAAAAGCTAGGACACTAGGGGTAGCCATGACGACGACAGCGAAGCAGTGCAAGCAGTAGGGGAAGAGCACGCAGTGACTGTGGGACTGTGCTCACCAGGCAGGGCAGGCCGGGCAGCTCTGCAGAAGGGCGGCTCGGCGACTCAGCGAGTTGGTGCTGGGCGGCTCGGCTCCCGGGCGGCTCGGTGGCAGGGCGGCTCGGGTGTCGGGCGGCTCGGGTGCAGGGCGGCTCGGCTCCCGAGCGGCTCGGCGGCAGGGCGGCTCAGGTGCCGGGCGGCTCGGGTGCCGGGCGGCTCGGGTGCACTGCTGCTCGGCTGCTGCAGGTGGGCGGCTCGGCTGCTGCAGGTAGGGTGGCGGGGCCGCGAGACCAGGGGCGGCGGGGCCGGCGTTGCAGGGACGGCGGGGCCGGAGTAGCAGGGCCGGCAGGTGCAGCGGCGGGGACGGCGGGGCCGGCAGGTGCAGCAGCGGGGCCGTCAGGTGCAGTGGCGGGGCCGGCAGAGGGGACGGCGGGGCCGTCAGAGGGGACGGCGGGGCCGTCAGGTGCAGCGGCGGGGCCGGCAGAGGGGACGGCGGGGCCGTCAGGTGCAGCGGCGGGGCCGGCAGAGGGGACGGCGGGGCCGTCAGAGGGGACGGCGGGGCCGTCAGGTGCAGCGGCGGTGCCGGCAGAGGGGACGGCGGGGCCGTCAGGTGCAGCGGCGGGGCCGGCAGAGGGGACGGCGGGGCCGTCAGAGGGGACGGCGGGGCCGTCAGGTGCAGCGGCGGGGCCGGCAGAGGGGACGGCGGGGCCGCGTCTGAGCGGGCGGCGGGGCCGCGGCTGAGCAGGCGGCGGGGCCGCGTCGTAGTGGGCGGCTGGGCCGCGGCTGAGCAGGCGGCGGGGCCGCGTCGTAGCGGGCGGCGGGGCCGCGTCCGAGCAGGCGGCGGGGCCGCGTCTGAGCGGGCGGCGGGGCCGCGTCTGAGCAGGCGGCGGGGCCGCGATCGAAATGGGCGGGGGGGCCGCGTCTGAAATGGCGGCGGGGCCGCGTCTGAAGGGGCGGCAGGGCCGCGAGGGACAGGGCGACTCGAGGGGTCGCTAAAAAAAAAAATTGCGCGCCTCGGGGCGCGCTTCGGTGGGCCCTAGGCGAAGTTCCCACAGGGAACCCGCTCTATACCATGTGAGAATAATGAACAGGAATGAGAATGACTAAGTGAAAGTTGGGTACAAAAGCAAACCCTAGAAAGCTGTACCCCATATGTGCTACCCCACTATAGCCTACAACAACTATGTCATATATATCTGACACGGTTAAGTGTCAACTGTAATTTCCGTGCGGTCGCGGTATTAACTAAGCTGTGACTTGCTCCTCCGTCAATAAAAATCTTCACTGCTGCTCCCTGTATTTTCCCGTAGATCAGTACTGGGCAATCCGTCGCTGTACCCTCCTTATTCATCCGAGCCCGATCGATGGCGTGAATCGGTACTGTGACTCGGTGAGGGTCGGTGTGGTTGGGCGAGCAGGCAGTCTCGTCAGTAGTTGGCCCGATTTCTACTGACTGCTGGCGTTTCCCTGCCTCTGAGACTCCCTTCCCTGCTCTGCTCCTCGGCGTCTCAGCTCCTCTAGGCATTCACTCTTGCGGTGGCCCGGCCTGTTGCAAGCAAAGCAGCGCCCCTTAAACGGTGCGGCAGCTGCATTCGTTGCGACGGCATGTACAGTGGCGTGCTCGGTCGGTCCCCGAGGACGATGTCCGTAATAGGACCCCGGTCTCGGTCGGCGTAGAATGTCGATCTTCTCGGCGAGCGCGAGAATCTCGTTGAAGTTAGTGAGTCCGCGCACCATTATCTCGTGCGAGATGTCCGGCTTCAGCCCTCCGACGTAACGGTCCACCCGCTCCGCTTCGTGCATGTAGCCGACCTGCTCGCAAAGTGCGAGAAAACCGCTGGTATAGTCTTGAACTGACCCGAGCTGGCGCCAAGTGCGCAGTTTCTGACGCGCCGAAATTGAAGCCGCGATCGGCTCAAAGCGCGCCCGAAGCCCTGCGCACCACGCATCCCACGTGCTGTATTGGGCGGTCTCGCAGAACGAACTCCAGGTGAGAGCTGGACCCGAGGGCCCTTCCTCGTGCGACGGTGGCTCGTAGGCGCGTGGCGACGTCACGATGACTCGCCACCAGTCCATGGCGGGGCCCCTTAGCAGTGAAACCGCATACCGGATTTTTGCGGCGTCCGACTCGACGTAATTGGCGTCGAAGAAAACGTTCATCGTGAAGACCCACGATTGAACTGTCGGACCGCCGCGTTGACTTGGGTCGAAGCAGGGCGGGCGTTGCGGCTTGAGCCGCATTGGTGCCATGTTGGAGTGTTCGCCACTTGTCGCCGCAAATTCCACGTGCCGACGGACTTCTCGGGGCTCCCATGGGCTTGGTGCGATCCTGTTTCCTCCCATGCCAGGCATCGGCTGGGCGGCGCCCTCACTGGCTGCGCCTGAGCGTTGTCCCGTGCTGTCGTGTTATGTTGGTGTGCCGGACGAGATGATGATCGGCTCGTCCGAATGTGCAGATGTGTTTGTTGGTGCGTGGGATGTCGTCGGTAGGTTCACCGTAGACTGTTGACGGGCGGAGTCACGTTCCGCCGTGAGAGTCGCGATTTCGAGCGCCGAGTCCTCCAGTTGACGCACGAGACGATCGAGTTGCTCTTGCGTCAATGTTGCGAGCGTGAAATCGGCCATGGCGGGGGTGTCGGGCAAGCTCAGCGAGAGCCTCGGTCGTGGCCGTGCGTGCTTGCGAGAGAGCACTACGAGCGGCGGTGCTGTATCGCTGAGAGACGTCTACCCCCCCCAAAAATTGAGATAATGGGAAGCGAAGGTGTGGATGCGGTCCGAGGTGAGATCGTAGGCTCTGAATACCAAGTGTTACGAGTGCAATTGAGTGAACGAACGAGAATCGCACTATCGAAGCAAGAATACAATGAGCGAAGGCATGAGCGAAGAATATATAGCGAAACTACAGTGGTAACGGTAATGGTCGCGCGACGAGCCTGGGACTGAGGTTGGGAAAGTGTCGAAGCGTAGGCCCGGAGCGCGGGTTACCAGCCGAGCCGTGAGGTCGGGATGCGATGTGCGAAAATGGCGGGATGATGAATGATGCGATGGTCGCGAGTGGTAACGGTGCTGACTGAGGTGCTACAGTGACGTACGCGTTGAGCAGGGATGCAGAGTAAGGAAAAGGGAATTTCCTTACACTTCCTGACGAAGGGAGGTACCTCATCGTCTTGGAAGGGAGGTGACTGTAACGCGAGATTTGTAGAGGGGATTTTCAAGATCCGTAACTTGTTCTACAAAGCAAAAAATAAAAATAAAAGCAGCACAAACTCTTTAGCGAATTGAAGCAAGCTTCTCGCAATTTTTGGTGCAATCTCAGCTCGATTAGCATGATACCCATGTCTTTGGGCAAGTATTTGCTGAGATGAAGCCAGGAGGCATCCCACAAGGAAGAACGGCTGTGTGTATGTGTGGAAGTCGAATGGTTCATGTGCACCCGTCTATGGTCAATCAGAACCCCATCCCCGTCAGTATCAAATCAGCTGTTCCTGGAACATGCCGTGCACATCCAAGATGTGCTTATAACGAACTGTTGCATTCAGAGGAGCGCCACACCATCACCTCCCAGAGTAACGGCCATGATGGGCCAAGGAGGCAGCAAGGGGTTGGCAGAGAGCTGGTAAAGCACCACCAGTGGAGAAGCGCTGCTGCAGCATGGCCGGGCGTGCCCGTATGGGAGCTTGCATGTGCGTGCCCGTGGGGTTAGTGGGTGTGTGCAGTGCACTGGTGACGACAGAGGCCACTGGATGTTGAGAAAGTACTGCTATCCAGGGCTTTTGTGGCTGTGGCAGAGGCACTTGTTGCGGCAGTGGCTGCAGCTGCGGCTGTGGCAGTGGCAGTGGCAGTGGCAGTGGCTGTGACTGTAACTGCAGCTGTGCCTGGTGCGTTGGCAGCGAGAGCATGCGTTCAAGCTCTAGACCCTGACAAGCAGTCCGCTGCTCAAGAGCAGCCTCTTGGGTGAGAAAGCACTCCTGCCTGTGCGGGTGACCTTCCTCCCTGGTCCCTCCCTGTTCCACCACCCACTCTGGCTCGGCTGTCCCAGCAGCGCCAGGGGCTGCTGGTCGCTCAGCCTGAGGCACAGTGGCCAAGGGCACGGTGAGGGCACTGCCTGTGAGCAGAACGTGAGCCAAAGGCGTGTTGAGAAAGAGAGCATCGTTGTCACTGTGGTCTTCGCTATCATTTTCGTCCGTGTTGTGTCTGTTGTCCGGGTTGTGTCTGTCGTCGGTGTTGTGTCTGTTGTCGGTATGGTGTCTATTGTCGGTATGGTGTCTGTTGTCGGTATGGTGTCTGTTGTTGGTACGGTGTCTGTTGTCGGTGTTGTGTCTGTTGCCAAGCATGTTGACGCATGCGTCCATGTATTCCTGCTCCTCTCTGCCACACGTACTCCCAGCAAGCGACCCTGTGATGCAGCTGCTCGTGCTGCAAGCAGCGGAGCCAAGCAGAGCAGCGAGGACGGGGGCCATCGGCGCTGGCAGTACTGCATGTGGCTGGGTGGGTGGAGGAGCAGAGAGAGCAGCGCATTGCATGAAGGCAGGTCCGTCGCTGCTGCACCCCAGCAGCACGTCGTCTGGAAGAGCACTCTCCGACCCAACGTGGGGCCGGTCCATTGGATGCACTGCGAAATCCCCACTGCACCGAGCTGCATCCCCACAGCAGGAGGTGGAATCCCCAATGCAGAGCGCGGAGCCACGCAGAGCAACGAGTGGGGAGGCCATTGGCGCTGGCAGCGCTGCTAGTGGCTGGGTGGACGGAGGAGCACGTTGCGTGAAGGCAGGTTCGTCGCTGCTGAATCCCAGCAGCACGTCGTCTGGAAGGGCACTCTCCGAACCAACGCGGGGCCGGTCCACCTGCTGCACCCTGCTCTTCGCTCCTCCCTGCTGCAGCTGCCGATGCTCCTCCTGCAGCAGAGCCTCCAGAAGGGCTGCTTCACCTGCCTGCACGCAGCTGCTCGCCCCCTGCTGCTGGAACTGCTCTGCCACCAACTGACGCCGGCTTTCTGTGCCACACACCATCCCACCTTGCACCATCCCTCCTCGCACTGTCCCGCCTCGCACCACCCCACCTTGCAGCAACTGGCTGTCGCGTCCCAGCAGCGGTTTTTGTGCCCCCACCTCAGGGCAATCGTCTCTTGGTCGCTTCACTGCCCGACACAGAGCAGCGGTGTTAGAGGAAGCAGCAACGGGAAAAGCATCCTGGGCGAAGGGAAACTCGTAGGTACAATCAGCCACAGCAGAGAAGGTGGCGCCTTGGGAAACAGCAGGAGGAGCCTGGGAAGCAGGAGGAGGGGTGGCGAGGGATGAGAGGTTGGGCGGGGCGGGTGGGAGGCAGCAGCGAGCGTGGGGGGCGAGGAACACCGTCACGCACTCCTCATACGACAGCCCTCCGAACGCCAGGGCTGCTGCTCCCACGCCCTCCGAGCGCTGCTGCTGCTGGTGGTGCTTTACATCCTGGCAGAGCAGTGGCTGACTGTGTCGGTTGAACGTAATATTCTGGGGTTGTGCAGCAGCTCCCAGGTGCTTTTGCAGGAAGTTTTGGCGAAAGCGGTCTGTGAACTTCCTGCCATCACCACACGGCCACAGGAGAGAAGGGGTGTGAGAAATGCTCAGGGGTATCAAGACACCTGGATTCAGAAAATCAAGATTGTGGCATGCAGGGGTACCTCCGGAGGAAGATGTAACGGTTACAGCACGACTTGTTGTTCCTCTTGAGCTGACCGCTCCTCCCCAGCTCGCCCCACTGCTTCGTGCCGCACTGCAGCGCGTGGCGCAGCAGCACCGCGTCCTCCTGCCCACCCAGTGCGGGAGGCAATGGCAGCGTGAGTGAGTGCGGAGTATAATCTCCAGGCAATGGCATGAGCATTGAGGCGAAAGTGCGCGGCTCCAGGCACACTGAACGTGTCCTGACGCGTACAGGTAGCATAATCCCTCCGACATAACAAAAGGAAATGCAAGGTTGGATCCTGTTTCCCATTGCAAGCTTAAAATCTGGCCGATCACGCGAGTCGCGACTCACCTCTCGCGACCATGGCTGCATGCAGGGCGACGCGGATTGCGAGGCCGACGAGTCAACGCCTTCAGTGGAATGCGGCATGGCGGCCAAGCTGCTGTTATTAGAAAGCATTAGTGCTGCTTTTAGCCAGAAGAGTTAACTGGCGGATAGCATGAGTGTGCCAGTGAGTCTTGCAAGTCTATATCCCTCCTTCAAGAGGGAACGGAATGACGTCAGCGTCGAGCAAAGATCCATGCACAAGGCCGTGGCTTGATTGTGCCACTGTCAGTGGCACAACGTGATGAGCTTCAGTTCCGGACTGTGGGCCTCCGACTCTCCGAGGCTTCTGATGAGCCGGAATGAGTCGACACGACACGACAGGGCTTCGTTTCGTTCTTGACATCCGAGGAACGCTTTCTTGCCCCATTTCGACTTGAAACGCGCGCAGCTGGTGACTCCCGGGAAGGTGTACGACGGGGGCAGCTGGGTGATGCGGCGTGAGCGAGAATGCGGCGGTTAAGTGTGGGCCAAGTGGGCTCACTAGGAAGGGTAATGGGAATCATTGCACCGACCTAGCTGTCGACTGATAGCCAGCATTCCCGCACTTGAATCCTCCAATAGGAGGTGGCAACATAATAAATCGTATAAAGTACACTAGTTGCATGTGATGTACCCCTCGAATTTCGCCCTGTCACATGAGTGTGGAATGGGAGGCATTCACCGTGTGATACGAGGCACGTGAACGAACTACTGCCAGCAGTGAAAACTGTCGTGTTCGCGATTTTTCCGAATCAGACAGTATAGGGGAAGAGAGCACGTGTACAGTACCACCAAATGAAACCGGTGGCTGCAGCTGCCAGCTCCATTGGCCCCCCGGATCGCACATCCAATCACGGTGGACGGGAGGGCAAGACATCGTTGACCTGGCAAGCAACTGCTGTCAAATGCCGTATCTCGGGCAAGACCGGGAATAACCTACTATCTTGAAGATTGCGGCGTGCAATAGCAGCAACTAGGGACTCATCAAGTGTTGCCGTAGACTGTGCGATCAGCCATCCGTCAGCAGCAGCCGAGTGAGTGTGTCTGCTTTTCACCTAGGCTCGTGTGGGTGTGCACGCGTGGATGGGAACAATCATTCATTTGTGCCCTTAGCATGGACTATGTACAGTTGTGTTAAAGCTCGCGGCCCAAATTGCGGGCCGCGCTGGGCAACCTTACTAAGGTTGATTGATAGTTGTTTTGCAGGTGCTGGTTTTGCGAATTGAGGTTACGGGTTGTACGAAGGAAGTTGATTGGCTAGTCAATTTGAAACACTGAGCTGATTGGCTAGCAAAATTGAAACAGTGTTTGCGGAGGGGGTTGGGTGGGAAACTGGCAAGGATAGTTTTTGTGGAATATGGGACTCATGCAACCAAACGCTATGTGTGGTGCTTGATCTTGCTGTGACCAATGAATACTGTATTCCATACAAACTTTCCACATTCTCCCCCCCAGAATTCCTCCATATACCGTAAGAATACCATACCAGTCAACAAGGTCTACAACAGTTCCATTACGTAACACAGTTCAACACGCTATGTAGAACACAAATATACTTCCCAGTCATCCACTACACTAGCCCTTAGACGCAATAAGCTGAGTTGACTGACCATATGCCTGAGCTCATGACCTATATTGGTCGAGTGGACTTGCTCCTTTCCCTGCAACCAGATTCAGTGAAATGAAAGAGTGACAAGGAGATGCTTATGCATATACATCAACCCATAGTCTTAACCTTCACATACCTCCCAACCCAACCCCAGCCGTCCCATCTGGCTCAATTCATCCACCCTGTAACACTCTACCCTGTCCCAGATTATTACATCCCACCCAATCCAGCCCCATTCCAGTCCATATTATATTAACCCTCATATCCCATCCCACGCCACGCCACCCACCCTCAACGTGTCAACATCATCCGGTTCCAACGTGTCAACATCATCCAGTTCCAACGTGTCAACCTCATCTGGTTCCAACGTATCTCCTCCTCGCAGTTCTCACTGGCCCCGTCTTTCCCCAGCCCCACTGCTCCCACCTGCCCCTTTTCCATCGCCGCTCTCAGCTCCCCCATTTTTCCCAGCTGCTCCCAACTGCCCCTCCCACCGTCCGCTGCTCACAGGTCCCCCTTCTCTACTGTTGTTCTCAGCTCTACGCTGCTCTCAGCTTTCGCTACTTCTCCCCCCTTCTTGCCCTTCTCTCCCCACCATCTCACCCTTCACTTTCCACTGCTCTTGGCTCTGTCTCCCATCCAATCCCTCCAGCACCCACAGCAGCTGTGCCACATGACTCGCTCTGCCATGCAATCATGCTCCTCTTCGATTTTGACTCGGCTCGAAAAAAAGTCAAATTAAGTCGGATTCCTTCCTCTATGTGACTCATCTCGGATCGAGCCTCGGTCCAGATGGCGATGCAGCGACCGCTCGGTGTGTCATGGGTCCAGTCGAACCTGACTCTGCTCGCGTCTGATGACTCGCACAAAAATTAATGGGACTTCGCATCAATCCCACCTGTGCCATGCTCACCTTGCACGGGCAGCAGCAGCTGGCCTGAAAGCGCCCACTACTGCCTCAACACCTTTCCCCTTCAGCTGCCTTTGAGAATCCAGCGCACTCCTTCCCAGCCCAATCAAGTCCCTTCCCCCATTCCCCCACTTCGCCCTTCCTCCTCCCCCTTTCTTATTCCACCAAGTCAACCAGCCTCTCCCGCACCATTCTCACCCAATTCACCCCATGGCTCGCGCCTTTTCCCCCTGCCCCGGGCCTCCCATCCGTATCACAAGGAGTGCAGCTGGGTGTTCCCATTCCGCTTCCCACCCCCTGCTCTCCTTTGGTTTTCCCAACCCTCCCAGCACTCTCAGCTCCCCTTCTCCCGCCACTGCTCCTTCCCCATTCCCTCTGCCCGCTGCAACTGTACTGTTTGCCGCATCCACTCCCTCGCCCTGCTGTGCTCCGACTTGGTGGGATGGCGGAAGGACGAGAAAGGGGGGAGATAGGAAGGGGGAGACACGGTGGGGTGAGGGGGAGACAGGCAGGGGGGAGAGAGGGAAGGGGGGGAGGGAGGGATTGGCAGAAGAGATTTGCGAAGGGATACAAAGAGAGGAGGGAGCGGGCGAGGGACTCCCACGGCGAAGGAAAGGAGGGAGCAAGAGAGAGGGGCGCAGAAAGCTTGGGTGAAGGAAGGGAGGCAGTGGGTGGGGGAAGGCGGGCGGAGCGGAGGTACACGGCCACTAATGCAGCCATGCTAAATTCACTTTTGAGAATTCTCAAAGGCGGGCGGAGGCCACTGATGCATGGCCACTGATGCATGGCCACTGATGCATGGCCACTGATGCATGGCCACTGATGCATGGCCACTGATGCATGGCCACTGATGCACGGCCACTGATGAATGGCCACTGACTGCTCACCCGTGACGGAATCCAATCGCTGTCTCATCCTCACAGCCCGTTATCATCCCCCCACATGTCGCTCTTCCCCCCCATGCGACGCTCATCACCCCATGCGACGCTCATCCCCCCATACGACGCTCATCCCCCCATGCGACGCTCATCCCCCCATGCGACGCTCATCCCCCCGTGCGACGCTCATCCCCCCATGCGACGCTCATCCCCCCACGCGACGCTCATCCCCCCACGTCTCGCTCATCCCCCCACGTGTCGCTCATCCCCCCACGTGTCGCTCACAACGTGTGGTCCCTAACCTTGCGAGCACTCATCCACCCACACACACCGGAATCGCGCCGGAGTCGAGATTGACTGCATTTCGCGGAATTTGGTCGTCACCCATGCGACACGAATTGTCCACATTTGGCACATGCGACTCGGCAAAAGCGAGCCTGCTGCGGCCAGGGTCGTCATGTGGTTGTGAAGAATGCAAGGATCGTCAGGCCATGCCCTGATTCGACTCATGCGACTCGGCACGTCCGAGGCGAGGCTGCTGCGGGCGGCGAAGCTCGCGAGGGTGGAAAGAATGCCAGAACGGCCGTCATTATTGCGGTTCTTCGTAGCGCAATGCGTATTTCAGCCCCAGGTACGGACATGTATGCAATAACGCCGAGCGAGCGTGAGCCGACGCCGTGAAACGCGGAGTTGCGAACAGTGACGCCCTCAGTAGTAAGGCGCGCCGTCGGATCGGACCAACAAGCTGCCACAGTGTGACTGTTACATGTGAACGGCGGGTTGGACTGGTAGGGTTGCCACGCAGCGATGGAGAACAACATTCACAAGAGGTGACTAACGCGGATATTGAGATGGTTGACGGGAGTTTGAGGTTACAAAATACAGTTCTAGAAAAAAAACAGACATAAAAAACACCTACTCTACGAACTGGCATGTGAGCTTCACTTTGGCAACTCGGTGGAGTCAATCAAGGCAGAATGATTTCTGCTCAACTATGTGCAGTCTCAGTATGATGATGGGATGAAGCTTGGAGACATCCCATGAGGAAGAAGGGCTGTATGCACCATTCCCATGGTCAAGCATAGCCCCAATGCCCCATCCCCTTTAGTACCATTCAAAGCATGCCATCAGCTCCTAGAGTAACGGCCATGTCAGGCCACGGAGGCAGCATGGCAGGGCGTGTCAAACAGAGAGCCGGTAGAGCACCGGATGGGAAGGGCTGCTGCAGCACGGCTGGGCGTGGCTGTATGGGAGCTTGCATGTGCGAGCCCCTTGGGTTCGAGGGCGTGTTCAGTGCACTGGTGGCGGCAGGGACCAGTGGAAGTTGACAAGGCACTCTCAGCCAAGGCGTTGGTGGCAGTGGCAGTGCGAGTAGCTTTGGAGTCGGCCGCGGCAGTGGCCGTGGCAGCGGCTGTAATTGTGGCTGTGGCGGCGGCTGTGATTGTGGAAGTGGGTGGTGCAGTGGCAGCGAGGGCATGTACTCCAGCTCTACACACCCACACGCCTTCCACTGTGCAAGCGTCGCCTCCTGGGTGAGCCCCTGCTGCTGCCTGTGCCAGTCAGCACCTGCCTCCCCGGCCCCTCCTTGCTCTGCCGCCCATTCTGCCACGGCTGACCCAGCAGCCCGACTGGGTGGCCCAGCAGCACCGGGGGGTGGCCCAGCAGCACCGGGGGGTGGCCCAGCAGCACCGGGAGGTGCAGGCCCCTGAGCCTGAGGCCCACTGGCCAAGGGCACAGCGAGGGCACTCCCAGCCAGCAGCAGGTGGGCCATGGGCGTGTCGAGAAAGAGAGCATCCTTGTCCCTGTCACTCTGGTTGTCGTTGCCACTGTTGCTGTTGTCGTTGTTGTCGGTGCCGTTGCTGTTGTTGTCGGTGGAGCTTCCGTTGTCGAGCACGATAATGCATGCATCCACGTATTCCTGCTCTCTGTGCCACACCCACACGTACTCCCAGCAAGTACCTCTGCGATGCAGCTGCTTGTGCTGCCGGGAGCAGAGCCGGGCAGAGCAGCGAGTGGGGAGGCCATTGCTGTTGGCAGCGGTGCAAGTGGCTGGGTGGGCGGAGGAGCAGAGAGAGCAGCACGTTGCGCGGAGGTACGGTCTCCCAGCAGCACGTCGTGTGGAAGGTCACGGGCACTCTCCGACGCAACATGCGGCCAGTCCACCCGCTGCACCGCGAAATCAGCACAGGGGGTGGAATTACCAATGCAGAAAGCAGAGCCAGGCGGAGCAGCGAGTTGGGGAGGCAATGGCGATGGCAGAGGTTTGGGCGGCTGGGTAGGCGGAGGAACAGAGAGAGCGGCGCGTTGCGTGAAGGCAGGGTCCTCACAGCTGAATCCCAGCAGCACGTCGTCTGGAAGGGCACTCTCCGACCCAACGCGCGGCCACAGCACCCGCTGCGCCCTGCTACCCGCTCCTCCCTGCTGCAGCTGGCGACGCTCCTCCTGCAGCAGAGCCTCCAGAAGGGCTTCGTCCGCTGCCTGCTGCACGCTGCTGCTCGCCCCCTGCTGCTCAAACTGCTCCGCCACTGCTGACTGATGCCGGCGCTCCGTGCTACTCACCATCCCACCTTGCACCAATCCGTCTCGCACCAACCCGCTTCGCACCAACCGGCTGTCACAACCACCCGGCAGACGTTGGTCGGCCCCCCTCCCAACGCAGTCGGCCCCCCTCCCAACGCAGTCGTCCCCCCTCCCAACGCAGTCGTCCCCCCTCCCAATGCAGTCGTCCCTTGGCCGCTTCACTGCACGGCGCAGAGCAGCGGCACTGGAGGCAGCAGCAACGGGGACGGCATCACGGGAGAATGGAAACTCGGTGGTAGAAGCAGCAGCAGCAGAGAGGACGGCGGTTTCGGAAGCAGGAAAAGGAGTCTGGGAAGCGGGAGGAGGGGTGGCGAGGGATGAGAGGTTGGGCGGGGTTGCTAGGAGGCAGCAGCGAGCATTGGGGGCGAGGAACGCCATCACGCACTCCTTGTACGACAGCCCCCCGAATGTCAGTGCCACTGCTCCCACGCCCTCCGAGCGCTGCTGCTGCTGCTGCTTGAAATCCTGGCAGAGCAGTGGCTGACTGTGGCCGTCCAATGGAATAAGGGGCCGGGAAAATGCAGCAGCTCCCAGGTGCTTTCGCAGGAAGTTCTGGTGAAAGCGGTCTGTGAACTTCCTGCCATCACCGCACGGCCGCAAGAGAGAGAGAGAGAGAGAGAGAGAGAGAGAGAGAGAGAGAGAGAGAGAGAGAGAGAGAGAGAAAGAGAGAGAGAGAGAGAGAGAGAGAGAGAGAGAGAGAGAGAGAGAGAGAGAGAGAGAGGTTTAGAAAGGTTGAGGAGTATCAGGACGCCTGAGCCAAATGAATTATGAATGCGGCATGCAGGGTTAGTACCTTCGGAGGAAGATGTAACGGTTACAGCACGACTTGTTGCTCCTCTTGAGCTGACCGCTCCTCTCCAGCTCGCCCCACTGCTTCGTGCCGCACTGCAGCACGTGGCGCAGCAGCACCGCGTCCTCCTGCGCAGTCGGCGCGGAGCGGAGAAAAAGACAGCGTGAGTGCGGCGTTCAGCATTGAGTGTGGAAGTGCGCGGCTCAAAACGTGTCCTGATGCACTAAGGAAGTACTATCCCACCGACATCATAAAAAGGACTTGCAAAGATTGAATCCTGAATCCCCTTGTCGACCTGAACTCTAAAATCGGAGCAACTTAAAATTCTCCACTGGACGCTCTTCTCGCGACCCACCACCTCTCGCAACCCACCTCTCGCGTCCATGATGGCTGCATGCCGGGCGACGCGGATTGCGAGTCAACGGCTTCAGAGGAATGCGACATGGCGGCCAAGCAACTGACGAAAGCATGATTCCGAGCCTTGCAAGTCTGTATCTCTCTTCAACGGAATGACCCAGAAAGACCCAGGCTTGCCAAGCCCCCGGGCTGGGGATCAATCAAATCCCCGGGCTGTGTGTGTGGGCCTTGCCGCCTCGGGCGACGGGGCTTCGTCCTGGCCGAGAAATGCCTTCTCGCCGCAGTTCCATTCCACCTCAAACGCGCTCAGCCAGCGACTCGCGTCGCGTGGCAGGAGTGTGCAACGGGCGGGAGCCTCCCGTCCAGTCCCGTCACAGGAGGGCAGGTGGAAAGCGGGTGATGCGTGGGCGAGGATGACGTCACAAATGTGTGGACCAGTGGACTGACGAGAAGGGTACCCCTAGTGATCATTGCACAATCTTGGAGGGAATCATTACACCCGCCTAGTGGTAGCCGGTTTTCCGGCATTCTCGCTCTCACGCCCTCCAATAAGAATGGGCAACCTAGTGCTGAATCGTATAAAGCACACTAGCATCAGATGGTCCTCCTCGAATTCGTGATAGCCTGTCACTTGAGTGTGGATGGGAGGAGTCCGTCGTGCGACACGAGGCACGTGAACACCGGCCAGCAGTGGAAACTGTCCAAATGCTTGCGATCTGTTCGAATCGGATAGTTGATACGTGTACTGCACTAGAGACTGCACCATCGGACGATTTCGTACGAAGCCGCTGGCTGAAGCTGCTCAACACCATTGGCCCAACTTCCATCCACCGTTCAAGCAAGCAATGCAAGCAAGCAACTGCTGCTGAATGCCGCATCAAGGGCAAGGCTGAAAGCGGAACGGATACTATCTTGAGGGTTGGGCAACTGTTGTGGCGTGCAATAGCAGTTTATGGGCTGGGCAACTGTCACTCTTGACGGTGTGGTCAGGTGGAGATGTGTGTCTGCCTCTTCCTGAACTTGAGGGTCGCCTTGTGCCCAAACGCGTGTGGGTGTACTCGCGTGGGTTCGAAATAATCATTCATTTCAAAATGCATCTCAAGTTGTGCTAAATACGTATGTGTGGTCCTGTGTTACGGGTGCAATGAATCGAAGTAGCGAGAATTGCACTAAGGTGTCAAACGAGTACAAAATGTGAGCGAAGGCATGAGCGAACATTTATACGCGAAACATGCAAAACGGTAACGCGGTGCGTGCGAGCTTGCTAGTGCTACGCTGGAGCGAGGCTCGGGCTAGTCCCGAAGCGTAGGCCGATACGGCCATGCCAGCAGTGCGAGGTTTGGCAAAACAGTGCGCGCGAAGTCGGCGAAGTTCCGTTAGCAGTAACGGGCGAACAACGGCGGTTGCTGTACGCGATGTAGTCGGCTCCGTAAGGAATGCCGAGAAAATTCCTTACACTACCCCCCCCCCTTAAGAAGCCCCCTCCGTTACGCGAGTGCGTGTATATCGCGGAATCCCCGGCTCCTCAGGTACACTTGCAGGGCAGGGTGTTTTTCAATGTTGGTCAGGGGTACCCAGCTATCTTCAGTTGGCGTGCGGTCCTTCCAGCGAACGAGGAATTCAATCCTCCTGATTCCCGTGGGGTGGCGGATCCGATGGCTCAGGATTCTTTCGGGCTCGATGATCGGCTCCGATGCAGGGCGAGTCATTGATTGTGGGCGGCAACGCGGCAGTTGACTTGTGGTCGGTGTGAGAATAAGCGAACAGGAATGGATGAACTAGAAGTGAAATGAGTACAAGTAGTAAACCCTAGAATTGTGTACCCCCTATCGGCTAACCCACTGTAGCCTACACAAGCATAACATATATAATGTTTGACACACCCCCATAGGCAAAGTGGGGGAGAACAAGGGGTCACAAGACCAGTCAAGCAAAGCAAAGCAAGCTCAGGGTGGATCACAAAGTCACCACACAGTCCGAGCACAAGAGCAGGGCCAGAGGCCAGTTCACATGCAGGAGTACAGACATATATATAAAACTAGACAAGCAAGAGCAGGTATATATATATGTCACAGTACAAGTAAAGTCAAGAGGAGAGCAAGTGAGGCAAGACAGACACAAGACCCAGCTGGGTGCAAAAGCGCTGATGATCACAAGGCGCGAGTGCCTTGGTGAACACATCAGCAGTGTTGGCCTCAGAGGCCACGTACGCAAGTCGCAACTGATCACGCTGCTGCAGCTCACGAGCAAGGAAGTAGCGGAGAGCAATGTGCTTCGTTCTGTGCTCCAAGCGCTGCTCTCGACACAAGGCCAGCATGGCCTTGTTGTCTACGTACAGCACTGGAGGAGAACGAGGCGGCTCTCCAAGGTCAGTCAGCAGGTAGGTGAGCCAGCGAAGCTCCTGTGCAGCCATGGCCCCGGCGTAGATCTCAGCCTCACAACTGGAGCCGAGAACCGAAGACGAGCGAGTAGACCGCCACGAGACAGAGCCGGAACCAAGGCTGAAGGTGTAACCCTGTGACGACCGCTGCGTAGCCTGGTCGTCAGCCCAAGAAGCGTCCGCGTGGCCGGTAAGGACCACTGGACTCCGCCCTCCAAGCACAAGCCCCATGCCCGACGTACTGCACAGGTAGCGCAATACCCTCTTCGCTGCAGCCATGTGCTCTGGTCTGTGTCTCCCAGGAGCAACATAGCGTGCAAGAATGCTCAGAGGGTATGCAAGGTCAGGTCGTGTGCAGGTCATCAGGTACATGAGGCAGCCAACAAGCTCTGCATACGGACCACTCGACTCTACGGACTCATCCGAAGGCAGAGCTGAGAGTGAGTGGCGAGTAGGCAGAGGAGTGGCCTGAGGCGAGGAGTACGTGAAGCCGAAGCGCTGAAGGACCTGCTGCACCATGTGTGACTGAGTCAAGGTAATGGTGCGGCGTGCTCTGTCCCGAGTGATCTGCAAGCCAAGGTAGCTGCGCAGTTCACCCAGGTCTGTGCACGTGTGTCTCTTCAGCAGTTCGGACTTCACGTAGGCGAGTCCAGCAGTGTCCGCTGTGGCAAAGACCAAGTCGTCGACGTACACGAGGATGTAGAACGGCGGCAGTGAAGTGTCGGTGCGCAGAAACAGCGACGGGTCGGCAGTAGAAGGAGCAAACCCAAGAGCCGCAAGCGTAGTCCTCAGTGTGTCGTGCCACTCACGCGGTGCCTGGCGGAGACCGTAGACTGGCCGTCGGAGGCTCCACTGGGTGCCAGGAGGGAAAGTCCCAGTGAAGCCAGGTGGACGGCGCAGCCAGATCTCCTCGTGCAGGCTACCCTGCAGGAACGCAGTGCTGAAGTCGAGAGAGTGAAGCTCGTAGTCGCGCTGAGCGGCTATGTGCAGCAGCACCCGAAGAGTGGTCATCTTCGGGGTGGGAGAGAAGGTCTGAAAGTAGTCAACTCCCTGCCGCTGACTGAAGCCACGAGCAACGTACCGCGCCTTGAAGACAGGTGGAGAGCCCGGCGGCCGCTTCACCCTGAAGATCCACATGCCACTGACGATGTTCGCCCCAGGAGGGGGAACCGCGTCAACGTAGGTGCCTGTGGACTTCCAGGAAGCCATCTCTGCATCCATAGCTGCCTGCCACTGAGAGGAGTAGGGACCCTCTACGGCCTCCGCGTAAGAACGCGGAGTCGGGATGTCTAGTGCATCCGGGTCTCCCTCAGGGGCAAGCAGTACAGACGCGAGATGAGGTGAAGCAGCCGCTAGACACTGTAACTCCTCCTGCCTGTCCTCTAGGACGTCCGTGCCAAGAGCACACTCACCCCCGACGGACGGAGGACAGACAGACGCAGACTCAGCAACAACACCAGCAGCGTAGTCGAGACGACAGCGAGCAGCAAAGTCAACGAGCTCAGCGACTAGAGCAGACGCAGCAGTGGACTCAAAAGAGGGGTCAGTGACGACAGTAGCAAGCAGACGCGTGACAGTAGGACTGGCAGCGCGAAGAGAGTCCGACTCAGGGTCGGCAAGCGCAGGAAGAGAGGACTCAGGAGGAGAAGGCAAAGGGGCACGCAGAGGAGCAGTGGACGGACGCAGAGACATCCGGTGCGTGCCAGGGATAGGAGGAGGACGCTGACGCGAACCGCGACCACTAGCGCGAGCAGCACGAACAGGCGACGCGGGACGAGACGCAGGCTCACGACGCTCAGCAAGACCTCCAGTAGGACCAGTGTAAGGAGAGGGAGCAGGCAGAGGAGAGGAAGGCTCCAACAGTGACTGCGACTGGACAGGCTGTGGACACTCTACCGAAGGAGAAAGACCAAGAACCTGCTGTAGGAGCGGAACGAAGTACGGCCGAGGCCGCGCGGCAGCTCCAGACTCAGCAGGGACAGCACCAGCACCCTCAGCGACAGCACCAGCGCCACCAACACCTCCAGCGGCAGGACCTCCAGCAGCACCAGCAGCAGAACCACTGCCAGGACAGACAGCAGTAGTCTCAGCACCAACACCCTTAGCAGCTCCAGCTCCAGTAGGACCCGCAGGCCCAGCAGCTCCGGGACCGGCAGCACCAGCACCCTCGACGGTCGACGAAGCTTTAGCTCCAGCAGCACTCCTCCAGCGGCGAGCAAACCACTCACGCAGCTCCTGTGGAGAGAGGGGCTCCCGGCGAGACGCAGCAGCAGGAGAAACCCCAGGCTCAGCAGCTCCAGACTCAGCACCCCCAGGCAGAGCCGCTCCAGACTCAGCACCTCCAGGCTCAGCAGCTCCAGACTCAGCACCCCCAGACTCAGTAGCTCCAGCTCCAGTAGGACCCGCAGGCCCAGCAGCTCCGGGACCGGCAGCACCCTCAGCAGGCGAAGAAGCTCCAGCTCCAGCAGCACGCCTCCACCGGCGAGCAAACCACTCGCGCAGCTCCTGTGGAGAGAGCGGCTCCCGCCGAGACGGAAGAACCGGAGAGCCCCCAGGTCCAGCAGGAGCAGGCTCCGCACCTCCAGGCCCAGCACCTCCAGGCTCAGCAGCTCCTGACGTAGCACCCTCCGGCTCAGCACCCCCCGGCTCAGCACCCCCAGACTCAGCACCCCCCGGCCTCGCACCCCCAGGCTCAGCACCCCCAGGC